AATATATTCCCAATAAAATGATACCACTCTTTCAGAGCCTCTTTAACAAGAAAAAAAAATAATTAAAATCACACAAAGGACCGTTTAGCAGCAGTATTCTTAAGAATTGTTATAGTAAACCTACCAACATAAGAAATGTTTTAAGCCATTTTCCATTAGATTTAGAAATGTAATTCAACATTTTTGATCCTCAAATGATATCAGCAGTCTCACTTTGACTGCAAGTTAAAAATTTTTTCCATAAATAAAGCACCATCTGTAATCAGACTCCAATCCAATTTACCATAAGCTAAACGATGTTTTTGTTGTCAAGGTGATTTCATACCAGCTCCCCAGGAAAAGACAGATGAAACAAAAAGACTGAGTATAAATGAAGAATGAAGCTTGTAGCAAATAAGGATATAAATTTACCAAAATTCAGATAATCCTAGCTTAATTAATGCTAGTTATAGACAACATATTTTCTTGGCAATTAACACACTGCAATTAATAATAGAAATTCACAGAAAAATTCAAAACTGAATATTTCCTTGGGCTGGTTTTTTTTCCCTGGTGTAATACTTTAAGTACTATAACTCTGAAAGTAATTTTATGCCTGCCAAAATTACTGCACTGAATACAAATCTAGGATATTGTGTATCCTTCAACTCATATTACCTGAGAACTACTTTAAATCTTAGCTGTAGAACAATACCACAGAAACATCCAAAGGCTTGATTTCCTCCCCAGAGAAATAATTTTAAGTACCAAATTTTAATGTTTGTTTCTAACAAAGGAGCTCATATTTGATTGATCTTTAATTTAGTTAGTTGTAGTAAACATAAATTAATGTAATCATACTAATACAATTAGCAAAAATGAAAATAAAGGAAAATTACATTTACTTTGTTCTGTATATTTTTGATTAATAGGCATTAATTTTGTTAACGGGTGCAACAGAACCCTTTTGTTGTATACAGATTAGAAATGTAAACACTTATTTCCCACAACTACTGATTTCACAATTGATTTTTAATGTTATTTAAAAAAGAAGTGCCAGTGAAACACCCCCTAATGAGCTAATCTAGAAAGAAATTCCTGTAAATCATTTCACTCTCTCCTCTTCATGGAGCAACAACAGGCCATTACTTTCAAGTATGGAGGATAAATGGCATATATAAACAATTAGACATTTTGAAATAGTTACTGGGATGTGCATCAAAATTCTATACAAGATGCTACTATTATTTCTTAGTGTAATTTTACGGAGAAAATGAAAAAAGCTATAGAACATTTAGGATGCTGAGATAAGTACTTAGCATATTCTGTAGACAAATCCTTGATGATGAAAAGTACTCTACAAACATTAACTAATTAAGCCTCAACACTTTTACGAAGCAGGTAGATAAGTGCCTTTCTGTCTTAAAACTTGTCTTACACTGGATGTGATCAATAAGCCACAAGCCAGTTATGATTATTCTTCAGGTTGAGATAGATTTCTAAATTTCAGTGTTCAAAACATTACAACATTTGTATGCTTTTGCTGTTGCACCATTTCAACTACTAAATACCAATTTCAGAGCTGTTATTCAAGGCTCATAGTAATTGCAAGAAAATCCAATTCCATTTGATTGCATCAATAAAGAGAAACAAAGAATCAACAGAAAGAGTTGAGGAACTGGATTGTGTTTATAAAGGAAATGTATCCAGGTGGGTTGAACAAAATAAATAGTCTTTTGATTAAAAAAACAAACCGTATTATCTATTGGTACATGCCAATACATCACTACATGTACAGGCTGCGGGGGGAAGACACTTTTGATATCTATGGTTTGAGCTCACAGTAGATGCATCATGCAGGCAGACTGGTTCCATAGGAATCTAATGTCAGTGAACAACTCAATGGATAAGGATTTTATCTGTACTGTATTTTTATAGCTGGAATATATGCTACTAGCCCACTATGCTCTGCTTCACTGTGGCGGTGGGAAGCAGAGCACACCAGCCTGCTCCTCCAAGCCCTGCATCACTCAGGGAAGTGGAGCATGCTGGGGCTAGGGCGTGCCACTTGCTGCTGCTGTGGTGAAGCACAGTGTGGTGGACTGGGTGACAAGCGGCAGAGCAGTCTGCTGGGTGGCTTTCCCTCCCACTGCCATGGTGAGTGCAGAGGAGCCCAATTCCTACCGCTGCCCCCTACCATGACCCACCCCCAGGTAATCCCCAAGGTCATGTAGCTTGGGGAATGGGGTTTCATAGAAGGTATGTAACAGAGGCAGGAGGGAGGGTAGCAGGGGCAGAAAAAGGTGGGTCATGGCTTTGGGGAGGGGTGGAGTGGAGGTGGGACCTGTGGGATGAGGGATTGCCCCAGGCCCTGCATCCCTCTAGGGATGGCTTAACTCAGCAGTTCTCAAACATTCTGGGCTCCGGAGCCCTTTACATGAATAAAAATGTATGCAGAGCCCCAGTGGTCCACTGATTATATGTGTTGTACCTATCGATGTTTCCAGTTTGTCAACCTCGCGGAGCTCTGGGCTCCGTGGAGCACAGTTTGAGAAACACTGGCTTAACTGAATACTGAGTGCAGAAACATTGCACAGTATCTGCCCTTTCAGACTGTAGCCTGCAGGACCTTATGTTGAAAGTATTCCTGTTTTACCACTCCTCCGTCTTTCCCGCCTGTTGTTTTCCTCTATTCATCCCTCTGTAAATAGATATTTCCCTTTCCTATATTCACTGTACATTTCCAGGGTATGTGTGTTCACTCTGGGGAGTTTGGAACATGTACTTGAGACGGAAGGGACTTTCTCTGCTGCATTATTACACATGCCTTTACTTGGTCAGAGCTATCTACAGAGCAGACTCCATCGTGGCCACAAGGGCACTAAAGTTACAAAAGGCAAAAAGAGTGATTGGTGAATTTTAATCTTGGATGGCATATACAGTGTTCTCAGTTGTAAACAGATCTGGTATGAAGTGATTTGGTTTAAGGCCTAGTTTTGAATTAATCTTTTTGTGTAAAGTGCATTATATGCTATGAAAAACAGCTTCATAGGGAGTAATGTGTACACCTCCTTATCATATTGTGTTATTTTATCTTCAGGCAATGAATTTGCTAAGTTTAGGTACTTGGTCTTCCTAAACGCTTTTACTATCAAATCACAAGTGCAGCCAATCACTGTAACACTAATAACTGATAGTCTAACTATATAATCACTTCAGTCACCACTTAATTGCAGCCAATCGTGCAGTTGAACACATTAGCTACAAAGTATTTTAGGTCAAAAAATGAAAAGAATATCCAGTTTCTTCTAAGAATATTCAAAAGGGAAGAATATAATTATGTAGGTCTGAATTTGGCTAGAACATTGCTTTATCACAAGAGTAGGCTGATAAGTGCTGTGAGATCTTTAATGATTACAAACATAGCCTTCCTTATACCTATCAATCAAAAACCGGCATATCTAAAAATCACATATCCAACAACACAGTGCTCCACAAAAATAAAACAGATGCTACCTCAAAAAGACCATCCCCTACTACTGCTTCAGTAATACAAGTACCTGAAGCATGTGCATTTCACTTGGTGATCTTCCATCTCAAAGCGACCAAGCCTGACCCCATGTGATTTGAATACAATAACCATAGCTTAAGGTAGAACTGCTGGATGCATTAGGGTCCATTCTGTCTTTCTGCCATAATGTATGAAATGTTAATACATTCATTTCTTTTTAAAGAAGGGTTACATATTCATCACTGAAAGAAAAAGAAAGCTTCAAGAGAAACTATTAACAGGTAATATTCCTTTATGGCAGCATGTGCATGTTCTTCCAGTGTTTTCTTTTAGTCATTTTGTAGCTCAGTTTACATATGTTGTTCATTATGAGTTGTATACAAAATGCTATCTGCTTTCTATATTAAGGTTTTAAAAATTCACCGACAGGTAATCTGTTTTCCTAAGAACAAAGTACTCCGTTACAGGCATTTTCTTAAGGCACCAAGAAGACCAAGAGCCCAAGTCTCCTTAGTTACTCCAATATAAATTAGGAGTAATTCATCTCAAATTAGTGGAATTACTGTGGTTAAAAGCTGGTCTAAGAGCAGAGCAGATGTCCTGAATCAAAATTTTCTCCATACTTTTCATTTACTTTTTCATGAACACAAATTAAAGTAGTAATCTTAAGTGGAGGTTACTTTCAACTAACAAGGTAAGTTAATCCTATCCTAAAATATGCAAAACCCATAAATCTTACTATTTAAGCATAAACAAAAAAAATTATACCTTTGGAATTGTTTTAATTTACTTTCTACATTATTCCAAACTTGCCTGTATTGAGGCTTACCTGCCACTATGGATATGCCAATGCAATTCGATCCACTACAAAAAATGCAACACAAGTGTAATACAGTGATTTCCATTGATATAGCATGTCAGGTTCAAACTGGAGTAAGAAGCACCAATACAACCCACGGTTCACATTGGTGCAGCATGTTTACATCAGCGGCTATCCCAGTTTAGCTACATGGTGACTAAAAAACATATGCTAGACAGAGCTGTATGATTAAATATTTAAAGACCTTGACTCTCCACTGTCATTAACACCTGTATAATGCTTTTAGAACACATGCATAACTATTTTATATAATCTCAGCCCTATTTTGAAAAGTATAAATGCAAACAGTAAAAGGCAGAGGAAAACCAGGAGCAAAATGTGTAAGAATTACTGATCATAAGGTACATCATATAAAATAATTATACCCATGGCATGCCCAGTCAATAACTTTATAGCAGGAAGAACTGCTTATATGGCATAGAACACCAAAACCTATTTAATGGAAATTATATGCCAATTCTTTATTAATTTTAGTTGCCTGAATTAAATAACCTTTTAAAATAATACGTGAAAACACTGCTGTCTATTTAGTGACAATCAGTAGTGCTAGTTATACTCTTAGAACATTACAATAATAATTTTTTTAAAAAAATAGCATAAGATCACTCTGCCAGGCAGTGGCTTTCCTACCTTTGAATCTTCACTGCTCATTCCAAGTTCTAATACCGCTTGAGGAGATTTCAGTTTTGCTTGGGTGGACTGAGCCATCTGAAGGTTAAGCTGCCATCCAATTGTCTCAAGCTATAAAATACAAGTTCTGGTTAGAATCAGATGTTGCAAAAGCACTAAAGAGATGAGCTTCAACATTTCTCAGTTGTCTGTCTCAGTAAACATGGATAACCAGGCTCTACATAAGCATTAGGCTCTACATTCAGCAAATTCTTCCTCAGCTATAGAATGTAGCTTGTTTCAAATTAATCAGAAGAAACATTTACGTATTGTTTATCCATTTTAAATAGATAAACTTTTAAATATTGTTTATTCTATGGGAATAATGACAAGCCATGAGGGTACAGCTCTGGTATTGTCCCTGTGTTTCTAAAATTACAGAGGGTACTCTCTTACATTGATTTCCACACACTTAAGAAACAACCTATAAATCAAATCTAAAAAAAAATGAAATGAAAAAGACTGATTTTCAAAGGTGCTTACCCCCTAAGGTTCACACTTACATTCTGTTTCGTATTTAAATGTCCTTTCCAAAAATAGACTCCTAACCAAAAATGGTCCGCTTTGGAAACTGACTAAACAAAAATGGCAAATTCTTAATCAGCAGATCTGCTCCCTGTGTAAATTCTATCATGCCTGACAATATTCATGACCAGATGTATTTTGTATTGCTTTCTATTCCTGTTACCACTGCAGAACCAAAACAGCTAAGAGTATGACCTGCAAAGTCTATTACTCCTTCAATTACAGGCAGTCCACGGGTTACGTACAAGATAGGGACTGTAGGTTTGTTCTTAAGTTGAATTTGTATGTAAGTCAGAACTGGTACATATTGTAGGGGAAACTCTAGCCAAACATTTCTCCAGAGCTCAGTTTTATTCTCCCACACCTCACTTCCCTCAGTCCTTTATTCTCAAGCTAAGGTGTCTGCTGAGAAAAGCCGCTCCACGTCTCCCTGGTCTGGTGGTGGGGAAGCAGCTAGTGCGGGGTTGCCTCACCCCGTTTGTAAGTAGGGATCCGATGTAAGTCGGATCCATGTAACCCGGGGACTGCCTGTATAAGAAAATTGCACACAAAAAGAAATAGTATGCACTATATTAAGTTAAGAATCTAAAAAGATTTACAAATGTTGGCCAATTATGCATCCCAATACCCCGTCAGGAAGATATTATTAGTATATAAGTAACAACTAAGGGACTTGCAGAAAACAATTTCTCTAGCTATAGAAGAAGAGAAGAAAACTGAAGAGTTGTTACCTGCTGACAAGTTTAATTAGCATAATTATCACTTGCTTCAAATTAGTTTTATACATTTTAAAAATTCTATTTGAAATTTCTTGACATTTTGTTCATAGGAATGCATTTTAAATTGGTTATGTAACTAAACATATAAAATTGCAAGTTAACACAGAAACAAGTAGTCCTGCAGCACCTTAGAGATTAACAAAAATATATAGTATCATTAGCTTGCGTGGGTAAAACCATCTGATGAAATGGCTTTTACCTACAAAAAGCTCATGAAACTATATATTTTTGTTAATCTCTAAATTGCCACAGGACTAGTCATTTTTAAAGTTACAGACAAACATGGCTATCCCTCTGAAACAAGTTAACACAGAGTTACAGTTCTCCCGTAATAGCTTATGCCCGTCCAGATTCAGCAAAACTAACTTATGGAAACAGGGAATACAGAATTAAGGTAAATACCCACACAACCTTAACTCTGCCCCTGGTGCCTCCAATAGTCATTAGGAACGGTCTGCATGCACTCCAGATACATTCACATTAAAGTGTAACTGTACTGAAGGGGGAGGAATATGTTGGAGCTTCTTGAAAGAACTGTGCTTGTTATAGAGTAAATACAATCTACTAAAAGTGAAAAATCAGAGTAGGAGTATGTATGTTACAGGCATTGTGAGACATTGCTTTAAAAGGGCAGTGTTAAGGTTGCACAGGATTTGTGTTAACTCTGTATTGCCTGATTTTCAAAAGTTTGAGTTTTGCAGAACCTGATGTTCTGGAAAGGCATAAGTTAGCACCCAGCAACTTTAACACTGTGTTAACCAAGATTTTCGTCATTTGATTTCCTAGCTTTTTAAGCAGAAAGAGAAATGTTTATTAGTAGGAACTAACAGTCATTTAGACAGTTCTATTTCTCCCCTAGGTTTGCAGCTGCTATACTACTGTGGCTATGTAATAATGAAAAGACAAGATTTTTTGTAGTTTTTTACCTCTAAGTATTTTACATCAGCATCTCCATAGCCCACTCTAAATCGTATGTCCACAGTTTAAGTCTCAGCTGCTTTATAAGCCCTGTGCAGGAGGCTCAGGGCTGCCACACAGGGAGCAGCTACTTCGAAGTAGGAATAAGAGATCCTCCGGAAAAGGGCTTTATTCTGGAGGATCGCGCCAGTCTAGACGCTTTTTTCCGGCCTTTCCCCATGTTTATTTAAATCCCGCAGGGGATATGTAAATCCCCCGCAGATTTCCCTATTCCCAAGTTCAAAATTAGCATGCCCCTTCCAAAGAAGGGGCCAGTGTAGACGTAGCCTGGATGTTTTGCCCTGTACTGAGTCGACCACTAGGGGGATGAGAACACAGAAAATCCATCCCCTTGGCCAGCAAAAAATATTTTTGGTCTGCCTTCTTATTTGTGGGTGATACAGAGGTGGGTGTCTTGTCCATGGGAAGTGCTATTTTTGAGAACATCGCTGGTTGCAGTATACGCAGAAGTCTATGCTGCTTCTTCTGTGCCTCCTGGAGGTCCAGCTCCTGTGCATTAGCCACTCTCAAACAACTCCTGAAATAGTCTTATGTCATCCGTTGGAGTGGTAGGAATTATGGCTTCATCAGGAGATCATAAGGAATTATGTGGGGTAGATCTGTCTTCTCCTTCGGACAGGGAGTTTTCCTCCTCAGACTGATGATGTTCTGTGGAGTTCAGTGCTGTGTCATAGGCCTGGTGTGGTGGAGACTTAGGTAGCCTTCTGACTGATGTAGAAAGAGCAGCATGTTGACTTCTGTGGGCCGACCATGCGTCCCATGGGGGCCACTGTCCTGGGTATGGTGGTGGTGGATTAGGGATGTTAAATTTAAGTTAATTGGCTAATCAAATAGTTGATGCAATTTGCATTGACTATTCAATTATTCGATAAGGGTGCCTCTTCCTTTGAAGTGTAGCAACAGCCCCAGGGATGTTGCTACACTTCAAAGGTGAACGTGCTACAGGGAGCAGAAGGCCAGCAGGGGACTCAAGCAGTCCCCCACTGGCCCCATGTTCCCTGTGGCGTTTCAAGAAGCGGTGCTGCATGGAGCATGGCGTCAGTCCCCAGCTGCCCCCGGGCTCCATGCTGCGCTGCCACTTTGAAACACCACGGGGAGTCCGGCGTCAGGCTCCATGCGGCAATTCAAAGCATCAGTGCCATATGGAGCCCAGGATCAGTGGGAGAGTCTGGGGCATCGCGTCCAGCCTGGAGCAGTGTTGACACTTTGAAGCACCCTCTTTCCCCTCCCCTCTTGCTGCCTCTTTCTCAGAGGCGGGGTAGGGGGAGAGGGAGAGAAATAAATCGACTAATGTGTCAACTAGTCATTCACATACCTATGGTGGGTACAGCCAGTGGTGACCATACCAACACAATGGTGGCATCATGTGGGTTGAAAGTTCCAAGTGTGACTCCCAGGATGGACACCTCTGTGTGGACAAGGCATTCTGGCAGGAGAAGCGGCTCTGTGGTCCTGTGTCTGCCTCACTGACAGAGATTGATGGAACCAGGGAGCAAGGCGAATGTACAGAGTGGGCTGAATAAGCCAGTGACTGTAGTACCAACTGATATGCTTCGTCAATGCCATGGTGTGTTTGGGAATTTCTTTATGCAGTACCATCTTGTTTGCTGCTGGTGGTGGTACCAATGGTGATACAGATGGTATCGGTGTTGGAGTCATCAGGGTGGCATATCAGCATGGGCCAACCTCGATGCCATCTTCAGTGTCAACTTCTGTGTTTTGGGTTACGCATCAGACAATGGTGCAGGTGGTGTGTGCAATGCCAATGACTTATGTCTGGGCTCAGAGTGCACCCATTTATGTGGCACATTCTGTTTCCTTGCTGCGCTGCCAGGCCTGTTGGCCATGCTCACCCTTGAAGAACTTGGCAGGGACTTAGCCTGGGAGACCCTAGCTTTCATCTTTGTCCTGTCTGAGGAAGAAAGGATGACTTTTGTTTGAACTGTGGACATTTTCCCTTTCCTTAGGCCGTGTTGACAGAGAAGAGTCCTCTTGAGCAGGTTGAAGCAACTTTTCGCAGTAAAAGTCTTCAGTCTGTTGACTTAGTTGTGCCTTACCTTCACGGTCAGGTTGGAGCAATGAGGTTATTTCTGGGCAAGGTATCTTTCTCCTAGGCACATAATACACAAAGAATGCTCATCAGAGACGGACATGGCATCTCTACATGAGTCACACCTCTTGAAGCCTAGTGAGCTAAGCATGTTGAAGAAAAACGTGGGAGAACGAAGTGGTTTTTTATATATATGAAAAAACTGGGGGGAGTGTTCAAAAACTTGGAGAACAGTAAAAACTGAAGAACTATGAACTATTTTTGATAATTTAGAACAAGAAAGGGCGACTGCAAGGGAGCTCCGTCTGCTGCTGAGAATGGTAAAGAAGAAACTGAGTCACCGTGCAGTGTGTGCAACTAATGGACACCAACGGCATGAGGAGACACCAATGTGCTTGCGTGGTGAGGCAGGGCACTGCTAGAAAAAAATCTACAGTCGCCAGCATGGAGACGCACCAGCACCTATGGTGGAGCACTCAAGGGGACATCACTTGAAGAAGAACAAGGGGTTGAGCATGGAGAGAGGACTACCCAGGGGCAGTGGGTATAGTAGGCAGGGGAAGGCATTGCCCTCCCAACCACCATCCTGGCTCCTGTAGGCATACTGGGAGCAGAGCATTGCTGTCCCCAAGTGCCCACCCGCCCCGTGCTCCAGGGCCAGGATGCCCACTGGAGGCCCTCCCCATGCTCTGCAGCCAGAGAAGCTGGGGCTGCACGCTGCCCCACCTCCCCATAGTGCT